ATCAACGTATACATGCTGGATAAGCAGTGCAGGCCGCTTTTGAGCTGTAGTAACAAGGAAAGGATTGATAGTKTGGCTCTGGCTGTATAGAATATATAATCTCCTGTTCTGTAGTTTTGTATACAACCATGCTCGAGTGTGGAGCAACATGTCATTATTATGGGCCGACGCTCAATGCACAAGCTGACAGCTGCGTGGATGTCGGCGCTATTTTTGCATGTGGATTGTAAACAACCCATGAATGCTATTTTCCACTATGGCAGAGCTCTAAGGCCACCCAGGTATAAAATGAAAAAGTCTCCATTTTATACTAATTYGGGACAGGAGAAAGAAATTCCCAATTTCAGCTGAGGAGAGAAGTTTTGCAGTTCAGCTCATATCAGATATCAGACCTCAGTGACAATGAGGAGGAAGATGATGACCAGGTCACATAAATTATATCTGTGTACTGAAATTATTAATATATTTTATTTTTCTCTTAACTTAGTTCATATCTCAGTTAACAAACAGCTGATGTACATTTTGGATTTTGCACATACAAATATTTTAGTTTTATTGTAAATTCAGATAATGGGACAGCAGAGTGTCCAAAAGCCACAACGACAATAAATTTTAACATGCTATATTGTATTGTTTAATGGTGTATTGTACTATTTCTTATTGTATAGTATCGTATCCTATTGTTTTTATCACCCATCACCAGTGAGGAAAGGGCAATAATGTTGTTGCRCATACTGTATGTGTTGCTTGGCTGTACTGTGTTCTAAATATCTCATAAACCACTGAATGGATTTTAAAGGAAACCTTCAAAAGTAATCATTATGTTGGCATCTATAGCTGAATAACAAATGGAGTCAACCCACACTGTAACAAACAATAATTCAGGAAATATTGACAGATATTGAGGTTAAAGGMACAGTGTGTAGGATTTTGTCAATTCTTTTAGCCGAAATTGAGATAATCACTAATGACAATAATAAAAAACATGTCTAATCATTGCAGACAAAGACCTTGTTTTATTATTTTTACCTTATAAAAAGCTGTTTATATCTCCATGGTCGCGGGTCACCAGTAGGGCTGTGTATTGGCAAGAATTTGGC